AGTAATGGATGCTGAGAACCCCCCAGGACAAAGTCAGTTGTGACATCAGGAAGCCATGGAGAGCAGTAAGAGGAGATGACATCCTAAATGTTGTCACTTTATGTTTGCCCTATCAAAATTAATCAGAGCTGGGAGATCAAGAGAAATAGTTGCTTGCTCACCTAATGTCCATACCTGTTACCTGTTCTAACTGGACAGAAAGTTAACAGTCTTGTCTTTGTTATCTGCTATTTGCATCTAATATTACTCTCTGATTGGTACTCTCAACAAGTCTGTTATGCTCTCCTCTACCCAGTTACCCAAAAGACCCTAGACATCCTCTTTCTGCCTTCCTACCCTGAGTCCATTTATTCCTCCTTCCCTGTAATAGGCTGTAACTGGGCTTATACTCCAAATGGAACATTTCTGGCCCATGGCCAATGTTAACTGACCTTGTCACCTTGTCGGCTTTTGACTGATCTGTTGCCAGCTTTTTGCTTGATCTTTCCAAAAGTCTCTTTCAACAGGATTACATCTCCCCACTTAGGAACAAGTGGTATTTGTTCCTATAGGCAACCAGAGACACTTATACAGACCCAGCACAGACCCAGACTCTAAAATCCCCAGCTCCAGGGAATCCTTGATGCTCCCAGGCCAGCAGGAAGCAGCCAAATGAGCCCATGACACCCATTGGCTCTAGTACCTTTAAATATCTCTGCTAACTCCTCTTCAGATTGCTATTATCCTAAAGCAGGAAAAATCTTACTCCCCCTTCTTCAGGATGCCATGAGTCAGATACCATGCTATGTCTCCAATCAGACAGAAAAGGCAATTTCAGGTCTTTGATAGCCCATTCTGGAATCAATCCCCTCTCTTGGGGTACTAACATTTTTTTTTTGCTTTTTATTAATTGTGTCTTACATTTTAAATAACTATTGTCAAAAAGGAGGACCTTTACCAACCATTGTCAAGCAGAAGCTTCTTGGATGGTACCAGGCCAAGCAACAAAACAGAGACTGTTGACTACTCCGCCCCTTTATAGCATGAAGTAGCTCCAGAAGAAATGATCTTTACACATAGCCCCCAACCTGGTACCACCTATTTTTATTAAACAGAGTGGGTAATGTATTATGCTCACCTTTGGTCCTCAACTCTACCCAGACCTGTGCCTCTCCCAGCCCTGGAGTTCCCACTATACAGTTAGCCTCTCCCTCTCTCCGCCCAGATCCACCTGGGCTCCCATCCACCTCACTTCCAACCCTCAGATCCCTCCTGTTACTTGGATGGTGATGGAGGCCATGTGCTCCCTTTTGGGGGAAATATGGCTCCTCTAATAAACCTTATAATAATATTTCTCCTGTTCCTGCCTGCCTCTTCATGGTCCCCTGGGATGGATGTGACAGATCCCTTCAGGATTGACACTCAAGAATTGTGCTTCATGGGAGTCAGGGCCGGCCCTGGGACTCTTCGCCAAGGGCTGTCCTCCCCGCAGCTGCCTGGCTGCCCACCACTGCCCGGTCCACTCCGAGCCCCGCGCTCCGCACCGACATGGCCTCGGGCGCTCCGCCCGTGAAGATTGGAATAATCGATGGAACAGGCCTGGATGACCCAGAAATTTTACTTTTTTTTTTTTAATTTAATTTAATTTTATTTGAGAACATACTGTACAGAGGGGTTACAATTACATGGGCAGGATAATGCATACATTTCTTACCAAGCATTGCAGCCTCCTCCTTTGTTTACCCTTCACCTCCCTTCCCAGCCTCCCCCCTCCCCCCCACCCAATCCCCCCCCCCCCACACCGACATTGTAAAGCTTGTTTTTGACATGACATTTTGTACTTCTCATTGTTGCAACATGACCCAGAAATTTTAGAAGGAAGAACTGAGAAATATGTGGATACTCCATTTGGCAAGCCATCTGATTCCTTGATTTTGGGGAAGATAAAAAATGTTGATTGTGTCCTTCTTGCAAGACATGGAAGGCAGCACACCATCATACCTTCAAAAGTCAGCTACCAGGCAAACATCTGAGCTTTGAAGGAAGAGGGTTGTACTCATATCATAGTGAGCACAGCTTGTGGCTCTCTGAGAGAGGAGATTCAGCCTGGTGATATCGTCGTTATTGATCAGTTCATTGACAGGACCTTGATAAGGCCTCAGACCTTCTATGATGGGAATCATTAAGGAGTGTGTCCTATTCCAATGGCTGAGCCATTTTGCCCCAAAACAAGAGAGGTCCTCATAGAGACTGCTAAGAAGCGAGGACTTCGATGTCACTCAAAGGGGACAATGGTCACTATTGAGGGGCCTCGTTTTAGCTTTCGAGCAGAAAGCGTCATGTTCCGCACCTGGGGGGCAGATGTCATCAATATGACCACAGTACCAGAGGTGGTTCTTGCTAAGGAGGCTGAGATTTGCTATGCAAGCATCGCCATGCGACAGATTACTGAAAGATTAAAAATTGACCATTACCATTACTAACTTGCTAACTGCTGATTCTGCTTCTGTAAACTTGCTTATGCTAGGCATTGCCCCTTCCCTTCCCAGAAATGAGTTAAGAAGTTTCAGGGACCAGATGCCGGCCCCAGGACAAGGTCAGTGGTCATAGATAAAAAACAGACAGTACATGTTCCTCAGTTCCCATTTAAAAATTCCCCAGACAGGACCTTGAGATAACGATCACCTGGCAAGACCACAAGCTAAGCCAAATGTCAACCAATCATAGGCCTATAACCATGTAACCCCCCCCCCCCCCCTTAAACCAACCATGGGCCAGTCATTTTACAAAGAGTGTTACAAAATTTCCCGCCTGGCAAAGTGATTGTTGGTGTATATGGAGACCTTTAAATGGACCAATCCTGGGATGCTTTGTGTTATGCATTAATCTTGTGGTTTTTGCCTTTAAATTAGCCTGTAATCTCTGCTCGGGGCTCCCTGTCTGCTCGGGACAGAGAGTCCAGTTTGCGCAAACGTCAAATAAACTCCTCTTGCTTATTGCATCTCCCAGCCTGGAGTCTGAGTTTTCTGGGGCACCCTCCCGTTGACGAAAGTATCCTAGGGGACTAGGGTCTTTCATTTGGTGCATTGGCCGGGAACCAGGCACCCCCAAACCCCAGATTCCAGGACCGGCAGGAGGTAAGATAGAGCTCTTGTCTTGTGTGTTTGTCACTTTCGTTTTGCATTCTGGGATCCAAATCTGTATGTGGACTAGAGGGAAAAGCAGATGTGCCCAGTACCCTAGTCCCGCCCTGGAGCCCTGCTCCAGGGTCGTCTGTATTTGGGCCAGAAGGAAAAGCAGACGTGTCCAGTACCCTGGTCCCGCCCTGGAGTCCTGCTCCAGGGTTGTCTGGAGGAAGGAGGAGATCCGAGTTTCTCTCTGTTCTGGGGAGTTAAGGCGAGGCCGCCACTCCCATCTGTAATTCCTTCCTCATCTCTACTCGGTTGCCGCGCAGCATCTGGTTTTGTCTGTTTCTGTTTAGTGTTACTTGTTTTTAGTGTTTTTTTTTTTGTGTTCTCTATAGAGATGGGACAACAAGTGAGTCCACTTCTAGGACAATTACGATTGCTGGAAGGAGCATGAAGAAGCAGTTTCAGTGGACCGTGTTTTAAAGACCCTGAAGGAAAATGCCAATAAAGCTAAAAGTTTACTGTTTACTACCATACCTCAGATAGGGTCCATGGGATGGTCAGAAACTCTCCGTAACCTGAAGAACATGGCCCAGTTTTCTGTTTTATTACCAAGACATTAAAAGAAAGTATGACTGCCCCCCAAAAAGAAGACTTTCTGCTACTAGTCATTTTGAGAGTTTTACTTGAAGAACAGGGGAAAGACATGCCCTTGCCTATATCAGAAGAAGAATGTGGTAAGAAAGAAAAGACATTGAATGTATTACAGACTCCACTGAAAAGACTGACACTCGTTCAGGATGAAGAAAAGAAGCAAATGACCAATGAGCAGGGAAAACTTTACATTTTAGGAAAAAACCAAAGATCCCATTTCACCTCCCCCCCATTAAATTTGCAACAAAAAATTGGGTCAATATCCAGTGTTCTTTGTTACCAGGGATAATGAGAAAGAAAATAGGGCTCAGGCTGCTTGTTTTGATATGACTGTAAATTGGAACAGTCTTCTGGAGGTCAGTTTATCAAAATACATCAGATACTTGACAGTACTTATGCACTTTGTTGGATATTTCTAGGAACTTCTCTAAAAATTATCAGATACATGCAAAGAACATTGTTTTTGTTTGTGAGATGATTCTTCGGGAGTTTTTTTTTTTTTTGCCAGTCATGGTGCCTGAACTCTGGGCCTGGGCGCTGTCCCTCAGCTTTTCAGCTCAAGGCTAGTGTTCTACCACTTGAGCCACAGCACCATTTCAGCTTTTTCTGCTTATGTGGTGCTGAGGATTCGAACCCAGGGTCTCATGCATGCTAGGCGAGCACTCTACCACTGAGCCACCTTCCCAGCCCCCATGCAAAGAACTTTGTATAAAGAAGGATGTTAAATAGTGTTGCTTCTAATAGCAGATACTCAAAATAATCTGAATATCCAACAGTTGTAGGTAAGTTGAGGTTTAGTTATAATTACGCTGTGAAACAATCAACTGAAGATCATATTTTCTTTTTTTTTATTTTTCTTTTATTGTGAAAATACTGTACAGAGTGGTTACATTTCTTATCAAGTATTGTAGCCTCCTCCTTTGTTTCCCCTTCCCATCCCTTCCCATCCTCCCCCCAACCTCCACCCAATCCTCCCCCCACCCCCGAAGTTGTAAAGTTCGTTTTCGACATAACAATGTGTACATCTCATTGTTGCAATGGGTCCACCTGTATCCCTATTTCAACAATTTGTTTTTCCCCTTCCCCTCCACAAATTATACCAACATGAAATACAGTGAAAGCAGGGGTTACACTGTGGGGGAGGGACATATAAAGCAACAAAGAAATAATCTTATGTGTTAGAAACAATCCCATGAGAGAAAAAAAAACATTTGAATACATATCTTATGAAGATCATACTTTCACATAGTAATGTCCTAAGGAAATTGTTCTAAAGTAGGAAATTTTTTAAAAAATAACAAATTTTACAGTACTAGTTTTATCTTAAAAATGCTATGTTGAAGCCGGCACCAGTGGCTCAGCCTGTAATCCTAGTACTCAGGAGGCTGAAATCTGAGGATCATGGTTCAAAGCCAGCCCAGGCAGGAAAGTCCATAAGACTCATTCTCAGTTAACCAGCAAAAGGCCAGGAGAGGAACTATGGCTCAAGTGCTAGAGTACCAGCCTTGAGTGAAAAGCTAAGACATAGTGTGGAGATCCTAAGTTTAAGACGCAATACTGGCACAGGAAAAAAATAATTTAAAATGGGCTTAGAAAAATTAAGTTCTTTTTTTTTTTTTAATTTTATTTTATTTTATTTGAGAACATACTGTACAGAGGGGTTACAATTACATGGTCAGGATAATGCAGACATTTCTTACCAAGCATTGCAGCCTCCTCCTTTGTTTACCCTTCACCTCCCTTCCCAGCCTCCCCCCTCCCCCCCACCCAATCATACCCTCCCTTCCCCCCCTCCGACATTGTAAAGCTGGTTTTGACATGACATTTTGTACTTCTCATTGTTGCAACAGGTCCACCTGAATCCTTAAACGACTTGTTTGTCCCCATCTCCTCCACATGTTATACTGACATCAAATATAGTGAAAGCAGGGGTTATACTGTGGGGGAGGGACATACAAAGCAACCAAGAAATAATCTTATAAATGCGTTAGAAACACATGCATGAAAGAAACAAAAACATTAAAATACATATTTGAGGGTTCGTTTTCCTAACATCACATTCTCTGACTTTTTCCGCTTGACTCATACCTATACTAGATATTGCAAATAAGGGAAACCATGGGACCTATGTTTCTTTGGGCCTGGCTTATTTCACTTAATATAATTTATTCCAAGCCTTTCCATTTCCTAACAAATGGGGCAATGTCATTCTTTCTGATGGAGGCATAGAATTCCATTGTGTATATATACCACATTTTCTTGATCCATTCATCTATTGAGGGGCATCTGGGTTGGTTCCATATCTTAGCTATGGTAAATAATGCTGCAATAAACATAGTTGTGCTGGTAGCTTTAGTGTGGTCTTTTTGTAAACATTAGGGTAAATGCCCAAAAGTGGGATTGCTGGGTCATAGGAGAGTTCTATGTGAAGTCTTTTGAGGAACCTCCATACTGCTTTCCAAAGTGGTTGAACAAGTTTACATTCCCACCAACAATGAAGTAAGGTTCCTTTCTGTCCACATCCCCTCCAGCATCTGTTGTTGTTAGAGTTCTTGATTTTTGCTGTTCTAACTGGAGTGAGGTGATATCTCAATGTTGTTTTGATTTGCATTTCTTTTATGGCTAGGGATGTTGAACATTTCTTCATGTGTCTATTGGCCATCCTTCTTTCTTCTTCAGAGAAGCTTCTCTTTAAGTCTTTCGCCCACTTACTTATTGGGCAGTTGTTTCTTTGAGGATTTGTTGTTGGGTGGTTTAATTTTTTGAGTTCCAAGTATATTTTAGATATGAGACCCTTGTCCGTTGTATGGCTAGTAAAGATCTTCTCCCAGTCCGTGGGCTTTCTATTGATCTTGCTAGCTATGTCATTTGCCCTGCAGAAGCTCTGCAACCTTATACAATCCCATTTGTCCAACCTTTCTTTGATTTGTTGTGTTTCTGGGTCTCTATTCAGAAAATTTCGGCCTGAGCCAAGGAGACCCAGGGTTTCTCCTATTCCATCCTGTAATGTTTTCAGAGTGTCTGCTTTGAGTTCAAGGTCTTTGATCCATTTGGAGTTGATTCTGGTGCAGGGTGAAATATAAGGATCTAGCTTTAGTTTTCTACATGTAGTTAACCAATTTTGCTAGCACCATTTACTGAAGAGGCTGTCTTTCTTCCATTCTATTGTTTTAGCTCCCTTATCGAAGATTAGATGGCTATAGGTCTGTAGGTTCATTTCTGGGTTTTCAATTCTATTCCATTGGTCCTGAGGTCTGTTCTTATGCCAATACCAAGCTGTTTTGATTACTATGGCTTTATAGTAGAGTTTGAAATTTGGTATTGATATTCCTCCAGCAGTGTTCTTTCCGTTGAGGAGCGTTTTTGCTATTCGGGGTCTTTTATTGTTCCATATGAATTTTTGGATTGCCTCTTCTATTTCCTTGAAGAATGAGGGTGGAATTTTGATAGGTATTGCGTTGAATTTGTAGATAGCCTTGTGAAGTACTGCCATTTTCACGATGTTAATCTTTCCAATCCAGGAGCATGGGAGGTTTTGCCATTTTTTAAGTTCTGTGTTGATTTCCTTTTTCAAGATTTTAAAGTTTTCATCATAGAGGTCCTTCACTTCTTTAGTTAAGTTAATTCCTAGGTATTTTATTTTTTGTGGGGCTATTACAAATGGAGTTGCTTTCCTAATTTCAGCCACACTAGAAAAATTAAGTTCTTAAAAGAAGTTTTTGTTAATGAAACAAGAGTCAAATAGCAACCTAAACAGTAGTGTTGTTTAAGGGATTTACATAATTCACTTGAACATTGGTGACTTTGCAGTCAGATCAGTACTTGGGTTTACAACTGTATCCTGAGAAAAGCCATGTGTTTTAATACTGAGGTAGTTGAAAGTCAAGCATGTCAGATGTTTTTAAAACTTGCTTCTACTCCATTTATGAGTTATTTTACATGAGTTGGTATCTTGTGTTTTCTATGAAAAGGCTTTTCCTTAATATTTTTTACCATTAATTTTCTAAAAATGCCTATTTTCTTAAATTTACAGCATAAGAATAATATCTTTTTTCCCCCTCAGAGGTAGCTTCTTAGTATGGTCTGTCAAAGAATATTTAAGGATCAGAATTCATGATCTTTTTTTTTAAAGAGTCTGTAAAATCAATGTGTTGGTATTTATGAGATTGGCTTCAAGATAATAAGCTGCTAATTATAAACAAATAAAGAATTATTCTCAAAAAAAAAAAAAAAAAGAACTGTTCTTCTGTAGGCACACATGCTCCCACTTAGGCTACAACTCTAGCCCTTGTATGCTTCAGTAATTTTCCAGACAATATTGTACATTGTTTTCATGGGGCCAGCCTCAAACAATAATACTTCTGCCTATAGCCTCTCATATAGCTGATATTACAGGTATGTACCACATATAGATCCTATCAATGGGTCTTCCTATCATTTGTAGGTTAGCATAGAACCATAGTCCTCTCAGTTTCTGCCTTCCAGAGAGCTGGGATTATAAGGTTGAACTACTCTGATTGGCCTTAGTTTTATTTTAATTAATTGCTAGTCCTGGGACTTGAACTTCAGCCCTGGGCTCTGTCCCTGAGCCTCTCTGTGCTCAAAGCTAGTGCTCTATCTCTTGAGCCACAGCACAAGTTTCTGTTTATGTGGTAACAAGGAGTTGAACCCAGGGCTTCATGCATACTAGGCAGGCAATCTCCCACTGAGCCACATTCCTAGCCACTTAATTTTAGATCAGAGTTTGTATGTAACCTAAGTTGGTTTGGAGATGACATCTAGTCCTATGTTCAAATGGAGTCCAATGCTATAGGCAAACTAGGAAGAGTTGTATACTTGTCACATGTGTGGTACACATTGTGGCCCAGGCTGACTTTGAATCAGAATCCTCAGATCTCAGCCTCTTGAGGAACTTAGATTATAGTATAGGTCATTAATCACTGGAGTCTGGCTGATAGCATTTTTTTAACCTTGTCTTATTTTGATCTGGGGCTTGAACTCAGGGCCTAAACCAGTTACTGAGGTTCTTTGGCTCAAGGCTAAGATCTCCACTTGAACCATAACACTACTTCTGACTTTTGAGGAGTTAACTAGAGAAAATTGCATTAACTTTCCCATACACAGTGGCATTAAACCATAATCCCCAGATCCCAACCTCTTGGGAAGTTAGGAATACAGACATAAACCACAACCTTCTATTTCTTTTTAGCAGGGGAAATGTGGTCTGGCTCAAATCAGACTTTATTTATAAACTATAGTAGCTTAAAAATAAAGTAAAATTCTAACTGTTTACAATGTTTAAGGTCAAGATGAAGATCATCTAGGATAACTGAGCTTTTGCAGGATTTTTCCTAACATTACTTTCAATCTCAAATAAAAGGTTATAGAAAGCATTCTGTTTTAAAATTTGGATTATCATAATGGAGAATTCTCTCTTGTCACTAAGTTTTTAGTGTCCTTGTGTTAAACTGCTATAATTTGTCACTGAGCTAGGGTGTTGGGTAGCCTTGCCTGGTTCCAGTCTCAATTTGGATAGATTGTAATAATAATACTGTTGTGGTTTGTAAATATACTTGTACAGTACTTAAACATTTACAAGATGTTTTCATAGCTACACTGTTCTGAATGTCCTAAGGTATGAGAGAACCAACCCCTTCCCTTTTGAACTTTCCCTTCCAGTTTCTCTTTCCTTCCCCTTTTCCTCCCCTTCGCTGTTTTCTTTCCTCTTCTTTCTTCTCCTTCCATTTCCCCTTTTCTTTTCTTTTTTTTTTTTTTGGTCCAGTCTTGGGGCCTGAACTCTGGGCCTGGGCATTGTCCCTCAGCTCTTCAGCTCAAGGCTAGCGCTCTACCACTTGAGCCACAGCGCCACTTCCGGTTTTTTTCTTTTTGCTTATGTGGTACTGAGGAATCGAACCCAGGGCCTCAGGCATGCAAGACAAGCGCTCTACCACTGAGCCACCTTCCCAGCCCTATTTCCCCTTTTCTTTCCTCTCTTCTCTTCTCTTCCTTTTCCTTTCCCTACTTACCCTTCTGCCTTTTTCCTACCTCCTTCCTACCTTTCTGAAATCTCCCTTTTCCCTCTCTCTTCCCCCTTTCCTCCCTGTTCCTTCTTCCTCCCTCCTTGTTTCTTCTTCCCCTATCTCTGTTCCCTTTTTTCTCTTCTTCTCTTTTTTCTTCCTTCCTAGGTGATGGTATGTAGTCATGGTGGGTGGAGAGAGTATAAGTGTCTTAATAGAGTCCTATACCATGCATGTGGGAAAACTAAGTAGAGTTGTCCATTGTCATGCCAATGGCAGCCCAATAAGCAAAGCTTGGGCTTTGCTTTACATTTTCTGGGAAGGAAGGGAAAGGGGGTCATTGTTGCTATGGGTTATTTTTTTATGTAGGGCTTATGGTATCCAGAATAAGGTTTGTGTTGCATAGAAATGATAAGATTTCTATATACAATGGTCTTCCCTCCCTTTCTCACTCATTTCTCCTCTCTGTGTAGCCCAGTCTTGCCTCAAACTTTTGATTCTTTTGCCTCATCCTGGTACATAGCTGAGATTATAAGCACATGCTACTATGTTAGGATTTGACAACCAATTCTAAACATCCCCTTTTTGAATAATCACCTTTAGAGGAAAAAAAATATTCCTCTTCAATGTAAAAAATTATTAGTCATGTATACTTGAGAGACTGAGGTAGAAGCATTGTTGGGGTTCACCCTAGGCAATAAAGTGAGAACTTATCATTAAAATAAAAAAAATTATAAAGAAGAGTTTGCAAGCTTCATGCAGGTGGCTCACAGCTGTAATCCTATCTATTCAGGAAGCTGAGGTCTATGGTTCAAAGCTAGCCTGGGGAGGAAAAGACATGAGATTCATATTTCTCATTAACCCCCCAAAACTAAGAAGTGGAGCTATAGCTTAAGTGATAGCCTGAGGAAAAAAAAACACTCACAACTCAAACATTATTTTTAATTAAAAAAAAAAAGCCCAAGTGACAGCTTACTTAGTTAAGTTTGGTGGTATGTGCTGTGGGGATAAAAAGGGGAGGCAGAACAGAGAGAACTGATCTTGAGTTGATGATCTTGAGTTGGATGCTAGTGTTTGCCATACAAGCAGACCCTGACTTAAGAGCAAATGAGAGGAAAAGTTTGTTTGATTGCAAAGCAAAGAATCATTTAGTAGTGACAAGTTGTCATGTGTTACTTAGTATTAATGATAGAGAATTCTAAAAACAACATAGGAATAGCACATAAAGAACCGAAGTATTGTAGTAAGAAATCCAGGTTTTCTCCTCAAGATCCTCAAAGCTGAAATGTGCAAGTGTGTGACTTTGCTCTTCTAGATTGGGACAAATTCATTGAGGGCCCAGGTAAGCTAGCAAAGAGGAGGCTGTCCCCTTGGCTTACAGGGAAGCTCACAAGGAATTTAGGCAGGATGTCTGTAGGACTCATCAGAAAGCTATCCATGAAACTGTTGCTAAAATTTGCTGGGAAGCTGCTGACTGGGTCAGTGAGGATGGCTAGAAAGCCAGCCTTGGACTTACCAGTGCTTATCATGCTGATGTCATATCCTTAAGGAATGGTCAGGAGAGGAAAGCACATTGGGGTCAGGAAGGAAGGCTTAGCTTCCTTCTGTGTCCCTACAGAACTCTCTGCTGGCAATATTGAACAGTTACAGAAAGGGAATCCAGGAGAAATGTGGTCAATGTTTCACAGGATGGAGGCCATGGGCATATGTATGTCAGCTTTGGAGGGTTGGGAGACTGAGTTTCATATTTCTCTTCTTTTTCAGGTGCTCAGTTTCAGCTTGAAAATAGAGGTTGTGGCTCTGTCTTTAACTGCTAAAGCACACTTTCTTTCTCTGCAACACTCTTTACTTCCTAGATGCTTCCTAGATATTGGTATTCAGTAGCTTTCCCTTGTAAGGTTGTGATCCGTGTTATATGGAGTGTAGCCCTGTTTCTAAGCCCTTTTCTGCCTTTTATTTCTATTTTATTCTAATCTATTCTATTTATTTTCTGTGCTTGGGGTTTGAACTCAGAGTGTTGACACTATCTCCAAGTTTTTTTTTCTCAAAGGTAGTACTATACCATTTGAGCCACAGTTCTCCTTTAAGCCTTTTTGGTGAACAATTGGAGATGAAAATCTCATGAAGTTTCTTGATCCAGCTGTCTTTGAACCATGATCTTCAGATATCAGCCTCCTGAATAGCTAGGATTACAGGCATCAGCCATTCATGCCAGCTTTGATAAGTCTCTTTAATCCTTTGGTTTGATTTGATTTGGACTTTTCTTTCTGAGGACTTCTTCTTTGCTGTTGCTCTTTTTGGCTTCCTTTTTACCTGCTTGGAAGCAGTGTAGACTGATAACTTATTTTCTGGGCTTTCCTTTTGCTATCCTTTGGGTGGAACCAATCTTCCTTTTGAATGTCTTGTATTCATTGGCAAGTGAGCAGAGAGGTTGGGCCTGCTAGGTTAGGGATAAAAAGGAATAGCCTGCCCACTCTTGTGTGCTTGCTTGCCAGAATTTTGGCCAATGGCACATTCTTCTGCAGAAGTAAACTTTGTCTTGACAAGCTCCTTTTGAGTTAGTGTCTTTATTCCTGCACAACACCCTAACATCAGGGAGGTTTTGCTTATCCTGGAAACTCATTGAACCTCTTATATATTGCAGACTGAAGAAGGAAATAAAGCCCCCTGTGGACAAGCTACTGGCTGGAGATGAGATCATGGGTATTAATGATATTGGCTTTCAGAGTAAAGTCATGAAGTGATTTATCTCTTGAAAGGATCCCTTAAGACCCTGGAGCTAAGCTGGTGTTGATGGCTATGCCTGTAATCCTAGCTACTCAGTAGGCTGAGATCTGAGG